CAAGCAAACAAACAAACACACAAACAAACAAACACACGTACATACATACGTACATACATGCATGCATGCATACATACATACACACACACACACGTTGTTCCATCTGAAATGCTTGATTTTTCCCCGTGGGGGGGCCACTGGACCGTCTTGAAGGAGTCCTTCTGGGCCTTTTTTGGCCCGTCTGTGGAACCATTTCGGCCGTCCCGGTTTCCTCTTTGCCCGTCATGGGAAGCTGAGCCCGTCTTGGGACCCCGTTGGGGCCCTCTCTGACCATGTAGGGATCCTGCGGTGGCCTCTTCGGGCCTCCTGGGGACTCTCTTGGGGCTGTCTTGGAACTTTCTTGCGCTGCTTTGAGCTCTCTTGAAGCCGTCTTTGGGCCCTCTTGGGTGCCTCTTGGGCGGAGCCTTTGGGGCCGTTGTGGCCGCTGTTAGGATTGAAAAAACGAGTATCCCAGACATAATATGCTTCTCCACAGGAAAAGCTTGCTTTTTGCCCTTGGGGGGCCTTCTCGGCGGCCTCTTGGACCGTCTTGAGGGAACCCTTTTGGGTCTTTTTGGGTCCCGCTTCGCCCCTCATTGTGAGCTGAGCCCGTCTTGGGCCCCCTTGGGGCCCTCTCCGACCATGTAGGGGATCCTCCGGTGGCCTCCTCGGGCCTCCTGGGGACTCTCTTGGCACGACGACCCCCCAAAAGCTGTCATACCCCCAAAGATCGCTCCAAAACGTCACAAGAGGCCTCCAAGAGCACTCCCAAAAAGCCCCCAAGAGGTAGAAATCATTGATTTTCTTTTTAGGCTTTTGGTGAATTTTGGGGTTCTCCTCATTTCGGCTTCCCGACGCTCCAAGACGGCGGTCATTCTGGGCGTCCGAAGCCGCCTTGGAGGTTCCTAAATCGCCCCACAGCCATCCGAAAGGGCTTCCAGGCAGTCCAAGAGAGCTCCAAAACTGCGCAACAGGAGTCCAAGATGGCCCAAAGAGAGCCCCATGGCGGCCCAAGATGGCCCCAAGACACCCTCCGAAGCATTCCAAATCGTGACCCAGTCGTTCAGGGAGACAGCGGTTGGAGGCAAGATGACCCCAGGAAGCCCACAGAGGCCACCAGAACACGCCCAGGAGGTCTCCAGAAGGCCTTAAGAAAGCATTACAAACTTGTGTGAGGCCCCCAGAGGCTCTCCAAGGAGGAGCCTCCGCAAAAAGAGCTGAGAAGGATGGGGAGAATGCGCAGGATATGGCGAGAATGAAGAAAAATAGCCATGGAGAAAGGATAAGACATAACATTATTATAACGGCGATGCCGGAAAAGGCAACAAGGAGTTATCGATACATTGTCGGCTTGACCTTATTGCCATTCCGCCTGCATACCAAACTTCACGGACATGGCGCGAAGCGCCACTACAACCTTGTGTGTATGTCTATGTATATGTATGTGTGTCATTGTGTGTCAGAATGAGTCAGTCTGCGTATATGTCTAGTATATGGATATGTTTGTATATGTCTAGTTGTGTGTATGTACACATACTTATGAAGATGTGATATGTGCACACATGTGTGTACATCGCTTCATTTGCCACCGTGCCTTCAGCATGTAGTAGAGCGGCCCAAGGGTCATGCAACCATGGAAAGTAGAGGGCTTCCAGAGTTCTTAAGGGCGGCCCGGAACCCTTGTTTCCCAGGCGCTTCTGGGCGCTGCTGGGCTCGCCCAGGATTTTCAGCCTGGGCCTCCAGGCTGGTGACCGCGCCCCGGGGGGCCCCCAAACTGGCCTGGATGGCCAAAAGAGGTCCCCACAATGGGCCAAGAGGGCCCCAAGTAGCCCCAAGATCGCTCCCACGACGCCCAAGGTGGCCTCACGACGGCCGACGGAGTCCCCAAGAAGCTCCTAGGGAGCCCCAAGAGCACAGCCCCGAGATGCCAACATCATTGATGTACTCTGTTGTTTGAAAGATTTTGGTGCTCTCGCCTTTTCGGGCTTTCGACGCTCTCAAACAGCTTAAGAGGCCCCTAAAATCGCCCCGAGACGGCCCGAGAGGCCTCCAGGAGCGCCCCCAAACGGCCCAACATGGCCCCAAGACGGGCCACGAAGCCCCCAAGACGGCCCAGTAGGGCCCCAAAAGGGGCCCAAGAGAGGCCCCAGAGGGGGAACACGAACTGACGTGTCGAGCCCTTCGCCCCAAGATGGCCCCCGAGACCGCCAGCAGGCTCTCAAGAGGCCCATACAAGCTCCAAGAGGCCTCCGAGAGGCCAAATCAGGCCGCAAGATGTCTCCAAGAGACCCCCGAGAGGCCCCCAAGACACTCCAAAACCGAATCCAAGAGGCGTCCGAGAGGCCTCCCCAGAGATCCCCACAAGCATCATGAGTCCTCTGACCTACACCCCAGGCGCGGTGGCGAGATGGGCCGAAGGCGTTTCGACAGTTGTATATTTGTACACAATGTTTCGCGTGCTTGTTTCTCTATGGCTTCCTCTCTTTCTCTCTCGCTCTCTCCTTATTTATGTCTTTCTTTCTCTCTCCGCACACACGTTTGTTTGTTTGTTCCCCAACACTCCTGCGTTGGGTTCTCGTCTTGGATAAAGCACTGTGGTCTCCGCCCTTTTCCTCCTGCCCGCCTCCCTTCTCCTTTGGTTTCCTGTCCACCTGGTGGCTTGCCTCTGGAGCCTGCGAGATGTGAGTATGATATGCCTTGGGAGCTGCGATTTGCGAAACTGTCGCCACTTTCGAAAGCTGATGGGGGGACCAGCATAGTGGGTACCCGCCGCGGACTCAGACTAGACCTCGCCATCCCTGGGGGGCTGCGGTCTGCGAAACTGTCGCCACTTTTGAAGGCTGCCGGGGGGACCAACATGGTGGGTACCCGCCGCGGACTCAGTTTAGACCTCGCCATCCCTGGGGGGCTGCGATCTGCGAAACTGTCGCCACTTTTGAAGGCTGCCGGGGGGACCAACATAGTGGGTACCCGCCGCGGACTCAGTTTAGACCTCGCCATCCCTGGGGGGCTGCGATCTGCGAAACTCTCGCCACTTTTGTGGGCTGCTGGGGGGGCCAACATAGTGGGCACCGACCGCGGACTCACACTACACGTCGCCATCCCTGAAGGGCTGCGATCTGCGACACTGTCGCCACTTTTGTAGGCTGCTGGGGGGGCAGCGTGATGGGCACCTGCCGCAGATTCATACTAAACCTCGCCATCCCTGGGGGGTTGCGATCTGCGACACTGTCGCCACGTTCGAGGGTTGCTGGGGGGGGCCAGTCGATTGGGGCCCCACCCAGACTCAGAATAAACCTCGCCATCCCTGGGGGGCTGCGATCTGCGCAACGGCCGTTCCTTTCGAGGGGTGTTGGGGGGGAAGTGGGGTGCGGAACCACCCAGCTTCATGTTAGACGTCGCCATCCCTGGGGGGGGCTGCGATCTGCGAAGCCGTCGCCACTTTGTGGGCTGCTGGGGGGTCCAGCGGAATGGGGCCCCACCCAGAGTCAGAGAAGACCTCACCATCGCTAGGGGGGCTGCGCTCTGCGAAACTGTCGCCATTTTCGAAGGCTGTTTGGGGGGCCAACGAGTGACGCCCTACGCAGATTCATACTTGACCTCGCCATCCCTGGGGGGCTGCGATCTGAGAAAGTGTTGCCAATTTCGAAGGGCTGCTGGGGGTTCAGCGGAGCGAGGCACCACCCAGACCCAGGCTAGACCTCGCCATCCCTGGGGGGCTGCGATCTGCGAAACTGTCGCCACTTTCGGGGGCTGCTGGGGGGTCCAGCGGGGCGCTGTCGCGGGCCGCCCGCAGACCTGGCGGCGCGCCTTCGAATGTTTAGCTCCCGCACTGAAAAGTGCAGGACGGAAGCATGGAAGCTGGCGGGAAAGCTAGACCTCCCTCGCTTCTTGCACGAACTATGAGCAATTCTGATCATTTCATCGAGCGTTGCAGCGCCATGGCGCAGGCAGCGCTGCATGTTTTACGTACTACTGGCGAAAGCAACGCTCTTCGGTCTCCTCCCATCACTTTCGTCGTCGTTTTCTGCCCCCTGCCACCTTCCCTCTGCTGCTGCCACGCTGACGGTTCGCCCCCCCGCGCGCCCTTTGTGCTGCCCTCCGTTCCCGCCCTCATGTTTTCCGGCCCTCTGTCCTCGTCCTTTTGTTGTTGTCCTGTGAATCGTGCCACGTGAGCGCACCCCTGGCAACTTGCACAACATAGAACGGCGCCTGCACTGTCATTGTCCTGGCAAGTTTGGGCCAACTCCTCTTGTCACTTGATGCAAATGGGTTGGGTACGTCGCAGGGTAGTTCCTTTCTGTCTCTCTCTTTCTCTTTTTCCTTTCATACGTACAGACAGCGTATCTACAAGTCTGTGCCATGCCCTTCCCACACTCTGCATCTCCGTCTTCTGGCCAGACTCGTCCTTGCGTGGCTACCCTTGCAGCGCCCTGGCGAGAGAAGCAGCGAAGCCACAAGCACGATGCCGCCTTCCCTTGGCCGTGGGCGGGATCACCGTCTGCACGTTCGGCCTGGGATGGGTGGCGGCGGGAGCTCTGTAAACAAATTGCGCCTTTCCGCAACCGACGACAGCGAGAATATAATCACTGCGGCGCGTCATGTGAAGCGTTTTGTCAAGATGTGGCCACGGTGTGGGGCAAATTGCATGTGATGCATCGGGTTGGCATCCAAGAAACACGAAACTGTAACCACGTCATACGCCCGCTATTCAGAAACGGCGCGTTCTACATAAGAAAACAATCGGCTGATGACCCGTGGAACACGCATGAATCGTGACAACACACAAACAAAAACGTACGTGCCGCAACAAAGGCGCACGGATAAGCTGAGCGTGCGCTGCGCACACTCAGTGAGTCAGCCGTGTGCTAATCATTGTCCTGGTGCCGCACGCGTGGAGCAAAGTGTTTGTGGGCCACTCGTCGATCCCATAGCCCCTCCCCAATCATACACTACTTGGTCGAGGATCTGGCGGCAGAATTTGGAAGCTGGGGGGTGACTGGTCTGGCTCCACAGCTACCAGCTACTTCAACCAACACATCTTTGGTGGGGGCTCGGCGCCCGAAGCCAACAACGCTCACGAAGTCGCAGTCACGCACCTGCGGTGGTCCGTGATGACTCTCGCCCCCAGATCAACATCAAGCACGCACTTGCTTCTGATCTCATTTTGTGCCCGGCGCTCCCGACTTCGCTTCCCGCCACTTGAACTATCGTGTGACTGACTGGCGTCTTGCTCTTCGACGCTCCCCCTCATACTCGCTTCTGCTTGCTGCCTGCGCTTCGCTTCCCATTCCTTCACTTTCTGGTGAAACACTTGAAACAATGCTGTCATGCAACATCCGTGCAATCGCCCCTCCTGGAACATTAATTTCGCTGCGTCCCCTGGTCCTTCATCTAAATCCTTACACACACTACCTTCCAAAGCTGGCATTGCCGAAGCAAAGCAAATTCTCATCGAGGAATTACTGTGCATGTATGTCTCCCAGTGTCGAGGTGTTGTTTTAGGCAAGCTGAGACCAAAGTTTAATAATCATTCAGCTCATGCCAGGCCCAATTGGCAGATATGCGCTGAACGTGTGCATTTATCACGGGCGGGAAATGGTAGAGCCACTAGCGCGAATACACGAGGTTACGGCGCATGTGCGGATTTCATTGCATGAACGGCGGTGAAAACAGAAACTGCACAGGAGCGACCAGTAAGTAAGCCTTCGTACCGGTACGATGATTTGTTTCTAAGGCGTTAGTCAACAGCGGGTGAGATATCAACGGCCAGGCGCAGCACGCAGAGGCTTGGGCGTAACATGCGCATAGAACCAAACCAAGTCTGCCAGGGCATGGCTCAATTATGCAAGTGGGACGAGAGGACAGCTGACTTGCGTGTGCCTCAGCTACGGGTGGGTTCATGGAAGCGCGACTAAGTTACGAGGCAAGTCAACCAAGCTAAGCTTGAAGCAAGCCGCATGGAAACTAGCTGTCAGTTCGCCATGGGTGTGCTCTTTAAGAGACATGATATTCGCATAGTAGACTAAGCAGAAGGGAGTAGCAAGCCAAGCAACGCTTCAACGATGACAACATCATGCTGATGCAATGCCAAGCCAAGTGTCAAGTCAGAGAGCGGAGGGACAACGCAGAGCAACTCAGACATACTGATTGTCCGAGGTGCGGGTTTTTGTCCTCTCAGCGCCCACCAGTCCTCCTACTTCATTCTGTATACTCATATGCCCTGATACTCCAAACCCTGCCTGCCTGTTGTCATTCCTGTGGTCGCCATTCCTGCCGCCTGGTTCACACCTTGGGTCTCACTGCTGACGGCGCTGCTGCTAACGGCGATTACGTTACTCAATTGAGCAAGCACGCGATAAGCATGAAGCTGATCAGTCCGGGGTGAACAAGGAACCATTGCGATTCATCCCTTCCCTTTTCTAACACGGTAAGAGGCCATATGTGCTTCCTCTTCATGTCAAGGTTCCGGGCGCACCTGGTCATTCAAGATCCTTTGTACGCTCTGCTGGCACATCTCGAAGCGCGACAGGGGAGTTCTGCGTCGCAAGAGAGATCAACGAGCAACTTAACCTGTCTCTTCCTCCTTGCAGAACAACGGACACATGATTGCAACAATGCGAGCCAATGTCCTTCTGCAACCCCTCTACGTGAAACATTCGCGAGGCCTGGGCTAGGAAGTGTCGCGGGTGGTAGAATATCAAGGGTGCAGATGCACAGCCGCCATATTGCAGGCGCCCGTCTTGACTTTCAGGTACAAGCTGGAGGCAACATGGATCTGCACCGCTCTGACTCGCACTCCTCTCGAAAAAGGGAAGTACAAACGGAGGAGAGGAAAACTCCTTCCTCCGCGATCTGGCTTCGCCCGAAGGGTACTTATTGTCTGTTTGGCGCAAGCGACCTGGTGACGATCGGCTCTCCAGGGCGGGTGCCTTTGAGGACGGCCTCCTATTCCCCCAGGAGCCTCCTTCACGGTTCAATTGAACCCCCGCTCTCCTCGAGGATGCTCAGTCACTCCACTGCATGTCGTATCAGGACGCACATAGCATTGCATGACAAATCATGACACAACATTCGCAGCATTGTTGCGCAGAGCTGCAATACAATGCATTGATACGCAATCCAAAGAAACGCAGACAGATGCAATTCGAAACAAATCAACGCAGAAAAATGCAGTGACACTTCTTTCCCATCTGGGCTTCGCCTAGAAGATCACACTTTCTTTTGTGTAAACGGCCTGAGGACATCTGTCATTTGAGATCCCAATGTTTTCTCGGAGTACCCTCAGCCCGATCTTCGAGGACGGCTCCTCTGAGAAGCAACGCAATCCAAATGCAACACCATGCAGCGCAAAACATGCATTGGCCATGCAAAGCCACTCAAAGCAACTCAAAACAAATGTTAATGAACCCAGCGCGACCCCAATTAGGGGAAAGCTTCCTATTGCATGGGCGCAATGCTTGGCATTGCTTGGCATTGTTTCGAATTGCTTGGCATTGCTTCGCATTGCTTGGCGTTGTTTCGCATTCGGTTCCGGGGATGGGAAACCGAAGGAACACAGGGGCTTGGCATCGCTTGACGTTACTTGGCTCCAACAAAAGTTTCCTTGGAAACTCGCAAGCGGAAGAATATGTATGTATACCCGTCAGCAAGATGAAAAGTCGCGCGCGCGCGTGCTCAGCGCTCCCACGCATGCGATCCCAAGACGCCCCATGGCCACCACATGCTTCCAGGAGGGCCTCAGGCCACGGACGATAACGTCCAGACGACCCCAGGGTGATGCCACCCCAACACGATCCCGCCATGGATCCTGGACCGTCTCAGGCCGACTCGCAGATGACGAAACACATGAGCAACGTGTGACGCCGAGATGGCCCGATGGCAACAAGATGGATCCAAGCGCGCCCAAGGTGGCCCCAGAATGACCATGCGACGACTGCGTGATCCAAACGCGACTGGGAGTTGATCTCAAGATGACCTCAAGACGGCCCAAACACGTCAAACATACTGCAACTTATGACCCCCACTTTACTTCGAGCCGATCCCAGCACGGCGGGATCCGTGAAGGACCCGGGATTTTACTCTACCCCACTTTTAATGGGTGGGATTTTAATCGTCCTGAACTAAGCTTCTAATATTAAAGCGGAATACGCCAGGCGGGATCCCGCCCGGCCCACGGAAGAAGCCTACGTTGCTCGGCTTCTACGGGGGTAGGGGGGTTCGAAAGGGGCGTCGTTTACTTCCGCTGACATCCGCAAGCCTTCCGACGGCCTTCCCCCGTCTTTCGCCTCGTTTTACTTCCGTCGACTTCCGCCGGCCAGCGTCATTATGAAAATTCAAGGAACCTTCATTGGGCCGATGTAAAGGCATTGCTTGGCATTGCCCGGCATGAAGCACCGGGGGCGGGGAACCCGGGGACCCCCGGGGAACGGGCAACGTAACAACAGGAGGCACCAGGGGCAGGGAACCAAGAAGAACCCGTGGAACCCGCGGGCAACGGGCAGAGTAACAGTAGGAGGCGCCAACATTTAACCAAGTAAGAGCCCCTTAGACAAGCCTACTCGGGGAATAACGTAATGTGCAAAGTGCGCTGTGACGCTCCGCGCAGCAATGCAAGACAACCCCGAGTAAAACAAACCGCGTCGCGTTCCACAACAACAAAGCAAACCAACGCTCTACGACACGTAACAGTGGGGGGAGTCTCCTCCTCCTCCTCCTCCCATCATCAGCAGCATCAGCATCATCATCATCATCGTCATCACCATCATCACCATCATCATCATCATCATCATCATCATCATCATCATCATCATCATCATCATCATCATCATCATCATCCTCGTCGTCGTCGTCATCGTCGTCGTCGTCGTCGTCGTCAACATCATCAGCATCATCATCAGTATTATCATCGCCCTCTTTCCATCGCGTTCTCCTTCAAAAGCTCTTATCATCGATTGTCTGGAGCTTGCGCAAGGGTGAAACCACTCCGAGCATATCAAACTAGATGGTGCAATGCATTGAGGTGACGCGCTGAGGCAACGCATCTACAAAGCGGCGCTTAGACATCAGGAAATGCACTCAACTGGTGTGCTTCTACTCGCGCCGAAGCCAAGTGCTGGGCCTCGTATCCCGCGACATCATGGAGGCGCTCCAGTCCTCGCTCTCCAGTCTCTCTCGTCTCTCTCTTTCTCTCTTTCTCTTTTTTCTCCTGTCTCCCAAGCTACTGGTCAAAAACGAACAGCACTATGTTCTTCAACATGCCACCAATCAACACTGGAACCATTCAATCATGACCCCTCAAACCCGCCAATGGCTCACACTGACAGATGGTAAGACGACCAGAACTGATGGATGGCACGAGTAATCACCTTATTGCAGTCCTAAGGCGAACAACCACCATTCGTAGATAAAGCAAATGAAACAAGATATAGCAACAACTAATGCAACAACGAATGAGAGACACATAACATATCATATGTTCGAGGCGCGTAGGCTGTGTAGGTTTAGCCTGCTCTTGAATCTTGGTCTCTCCAATTGGTCTCAAAACACTGGCTGCGGGATCCAGAACCGCGATGCCCGCATGCGCGCACGCACGACCTGCTGGAGACACATTACCAAGTGGGCCAGAAGTCCCAGAAGCAACGCTTCCTGCCTCTCTGCTCCTCCTCTCGGGGCGCGTTTCGGCAAACCCACCAGGGCTTGGGCCGTGTCACAGCCATCCGCAGACATCAGCCCTCGGACGCTCGTCAACTAATAGGCGTCGTCGTCGTCGTCGACGATGACGGCGACCGACGACGACGACGACGACGACGACGACGACGACGACGACGACGACGGACGACGGACGACGACGACGACGACGACGACGACGACGACGACGACGACGACGACGACGACGACGACGACCGACGACGCCGACAGTGCGTGCCAAGAGGCCCTCGATGCCAGCGACAACGGCGTGGGCAGCGGCACGGCACGGGCAGACCATGCAGAGCAGCGCGCGGCCACCGCCCGCGCTCAGCCGGAGGCGTTCAGAGGGTCGGGGAGGTGCAGGGGGTGGGGGGCGAGCTGCCCGAGCCCAAGGGGGGGAGGTCGCCAGCGCGCGGCCCAGAGGATCAGCGAGGTGCAGAGGGGGGGATGGGGGCGAGCTGCCCGAGCCACAATGCGGGGGAGGTCGCCAGCGCCCCATCACCCCCCCCTTGCACTGCTTCCCCTCCTGAACTCCCCTTCTCCGCTCTTGCGCCTTTCTTCTACCTTTATCATCTCCCCCCTGTCACTCCTCCCATCCCTCATTGGTTCTTCGCGTCGTTCCTTCCCGCCTTCCTTCCTTTTGCCCGCTGCTTTATCCTGCACCCATCGCTGCAAGCGTCGGCGATACCCTCCTTTCGCCCTACCGTGCTTCCCCTTACTTGCCCTCCTTCCGCACCCTCTTTCCCCCCTGGAGCACGGAGCTGTCCAAGCAGAAGACCACAACTTTCGGCGCAGCCTGTGCTGTCTGCGAGCGAAAAGCAACGCGGCGCACTGCTTACGCATCAAGTTGCACACCGATGACGTCATACAATCATTTCTCTTGCCCTACACATACGAGTTGCACCTCTGTATTCGCATCGCGTTGCCGCCAACCATGTAGCTTCATGTGTCGAAGTACATATGTTCCACGATGCCTTGTAATCTGTCCAACGTTGGAGGAGGAGGGGGAGGAGGAGAAGGAGGAGGAGGAGAGGGAGCAGGGGTAGGAAGAGGAGGAGGAGGAGGAGGAGGAGGAGCAGAAATATACAGAACGCTACGTGCCACAGCGTCCTCACGCACACGCTTGAGTCGGTGCGCGCACTTCACGGCTGCCATGCGTGCGCATATCATGCAGTTGACACACGCACGATCGAGTGCCAGACTTCCACGCTTCACGAATATGCCAGACAAGGAGGGTGGGGCCGCCCAACAGGCCGCCGAACAACGGTCGGACGAACACCAGAGGCGCGTAGGAATGCTGCTTGACGGCTGTGTTTTTGGTTCGCGGCCCAACGATGTCGATCTTCCCCACCTGCGGTTTCCGCTCTCGGACGCCCCGATGTTTCTTTATGGGGCTACAGGAGAGCGTGGAGAGCGCTGATGTCCGAATGTGTTCCCGTATGGTTGTCCACACTGCCACTTGTTGCTTATGTCATACATGTTATTGCGATCCAAATTTGTTTTAAAGGGGGGCGGGGAACGTCATCGTTGGTGCTCTTTGGACGTACAAGTGAAGTCACGAGAAGTCGCACACCGGGACACAATACGTATTGTTATCTGCCTGTCGATCGATCTGTCTACATTCCCATGCCTATATATATATGTATATAGAGATATGTCTGTATATGTATGCATATCTACAAACACAATATTTTAGCAGCTCACTGCGTTTCGCCTGAGAAATCTTGATCGCATGTCGCCAGAGAGGCCCGCCGCGACCTGTACACGCCAATACCGCGACGCGCTTCGGCCATAGGGTCCATGGGTCACGCGAGGCTGACAAGACCCATGTGCTCTACCGGGTCAGAGGGTTCAAAGGCCTCTCCGCTGTCGTTGGGGCTCAGAGGCTCGGAGCCTTAATTGGGAAGAGGAGTAATTCAGCCAGCGCGACGTGTGGGGATCATGAGATTCCGAGGGCACGCAAGCGTGATTGGGTGCGTGGGGTGCCTAGGGCTGATGGGCTCAGTAGGGTTCTAAGGCTCGTAGGAACCTTGGTCAAACAGAAGATACGGGCTCTTGGGCCCAATAGCGGGCGGGCTCATCGGGATTGTGAGGCTCATGGGGCTCATAGGTGTCATTGTGTACACCTGCTCATGAGGTTCATAAGGTTAATCAAGGGTCGTCGGGGCCATAGGGCTTATGTGGCCCATGGGGATCATACGGCTCACAGGGCTGAAGGCTCCTTGGGGCCATGCGGCTCGTGGGACTCGTGGGGCTGATAGAGCTCGAAGGGCTCGCAGGGCTCATGAGGCTCATAGGCGACATAGGGCTTACAGGGCTCACTGGGCTCGTAGGGCTCATGAGGCTCGTCGGGCTCACATTGCTCAGAGGGTCCATAAGGTCATAGGCTAACCGGCAACACAGGGCTCAGAGGGTCCATGAAGCTCACAGGGCCCATCGGGGTCATGCGGCTCGCACGGCTCATAGGGGTCATAGGGTTTACGGGGTTCGGAGGGGCCATACGGCGCAGAGGGCTTATAGGGCTCATCGGGGCCATAGGGCTCATGGGTATCATGATGGTGATTGGGGCCCATAGGGGCCATAGGGCTCGCGGCACTGAGGACATCGATGTGCTCGCAAGGCTCAACGGGCCCATCGAGCTCATGTGGGCTGATGGTGCCACGTCCACTGGACGCTTGGGAGCAAGGTCGCTAGTGAGCTCCTAGTTAAGGTGCCTGGGGGGCCCCTTGGAGGGCACACAGGGCTCATGGGGCTCAGAGGGTTCGTAGGAGTGATAGGGCTCGGAGGGGTCGAAGGGCTCGTGAGTTCATCAGGATCATGAGGCTCGTCGGGGTTAGAGCATGAGGTTGTGAGGAGTTCGGGGTCATAGTGCGCATTGGGTTCGTGAGCTTTTGTGGTACATAGAGGTCGTAGGGCTTATAGGGCAAATGGGGCTGCTGGGGCTCAGAGGGCTCGCAGCGCAGAAAGAGGTCATAGGATTCGTAGGACTCGAGAGTCTTGTAAGGGTCGTCGGGCTCATATGTTTCGTAGGGCTCAAGAGCTCATTGGGCTCATGGGCTCGTGGGGATGATAAGGCTCATAGGGCTCACAGGGGAGGGTCTCGGGGGCCTCTTGGAGGGCGCGTGAGGCTCATAGGCCTCATAGGGTTCATGGGGCTCGTATGGCTCATAAGATTCGGTAAGGGTCGTATGACTCAGAGGGGTCATCAGGATCATGAGGTTTGTACGGACTGTGAGGTTCACGAGGCCGATCGAAATACAAGGTCATATGGCGCATCAAACTTATAAGGGTGATAGAGCTTGTGGGGTTTCTGGGAGGGGGCTCTTGAGAGGGTTTTGGGAGCTTCGGGGGCGTCATGAGGGCCTCTTGGGGGCCTCTGATAGCGTCTTGGAGGCTCCGCGGCAGTATCCAGGACCATCTTTGGGCTGAGGGCTCGACATGTCAATTCGGTTTGTCTTTCTTGGGCCATCTTGAAGCGTCTTGCGGAGCCTTTTGGGCAGTCTGGCGGCCTTCTTGGGCCGTTTGGGGACATCCTGAGGACCCACTTCGTCATGGAATAAGCGAACACGTTGAAATGTATCAAACAACTATACGAGCATCGATTAGTTTTGACATCTGGAGCCCTCTTGGGGGGCATCTTGGGGCTCTCCTGGGGCCGAATATCCAAACCCGAACGCCCGAACCCTAACACCGTAGCATACACATGAACCCTGGCATCACGGCCCGAACTCAACCACCGAAGCCCGAACACCCCAACCCGAGCACCCTGCACTGACCCAGACACCCCGAGTCCTGGCACCCACACCTGAGCACCAGAACTCCAACGCACGAGCACCCGAACATGGCAGCAGCGGCCCGCGAACCCCGCGCGGCTTCTTCGCCGGTGCCCGGCTCCTGGGCCATCCCAGCCTCTTCCTGAGAGTGCCCCAGCCGCTGCCACTATGGCCCTCAAAAGCGCGGCCCGCCCCATCGCCAGGAGAGCAGAGCGGGGGGCTGTGAGAACGTACCCCTCCTCGTGGTTGCCGTCACTTCAGATGGGCCCATGAGCCCGTCCGCCACGGATCTCACAACATCTGTTCAAAACCAAACGCCGTCGGCGGGAGCAAAGTCGAGTTCCAAGGGATCCTAGCATCATATGTCTTCCATCCATTCCCTCCTCTTCGGGCGCACGCATGGCGACGTGCTACGACCCTCCTCTCCTTCCTCGAGCAGTGTCGCGTGCGAGATGGGCGAATGATAAGGGCAAAGCACCTCAACCATTTCGGCTCAAGCGCCCGATCGCAATTGCAAAGATGAAGCAGCACACGATCAACATCCCTCAGACCAGTACGCGCCATACCCGATCTGACAACTGCGCGGAACACGAGCGCTACCCAAAACGGGTCCGCGCGAGCGTGGACTCCCACCTCCGGCGCACCCTGGTCTGCCGTTGAACCCGCACCTGCAGAATCCGTGCCCGGCCATCTTCGGCCAGGCGTGGGATTACTTGCGAAAGACTGCAGATACCCAGACCCCCGACTTCGTGATTTTTTCGCAACGTCGACCCCGAGGGGTCAGGACCCTTTCCCAGAGATCCAACGTATGGAAAAAAACAAGACGGAGATTTCTCGCAAAGTTCGGCCCTTAGGGGCTCTCGCCGGGCCTCGAGACCGTCAAAAAACGACTCAGGGTAAAAAAAACGGGCCTGGGAATTGGTCGAGACTTCCTGGGATCCAGAATTTTAAAAAGTCACGACATCGGATCTCTGGGTTTCCCAGGACCAGCTTTTCATCCTGAGTCGTTTTTGACGGTCCCGAGGCCCGGTAAGGGCCCTCGGAAGCCAGATATAGCGAACACCTCCCGTCGTGGTTTTTGCACAACGCGAGGGGGTCTGGGCCAGGGAGGATTCGACACCAGAGCTTCGCGAGGACGATCACTAGACACGTCTGGTCTCACAAAGGGGGCGTCGCCGCTGGGACTCTACGGCGGAGCGGGGCAGCTCCCCCTGACATCGCCACGGGCGGCACGGGCCAGAGCACCACATCGGCATTGCCGCTGGACTCGCGCGCCTGGACGGCGGATTTGGGCGGGCCGCCTGCGTCGTGCACCGACTGCATCCCGCCGCGGCGGCCCTGGCTGCTCGCTGCCCCGACGCGCTCTCCAGGAGGGGCAGCGACCCGAGGCATGAAATGATGTGGGTCCAGGGCCGCGCTACTAGCCGCCGCTGCCAGCCGCCTGGAAGCTTGCGCCGGGCGCGGCGGCGCTCTGGCTGGCTGGGCGCCTCGCAAGAGCATCGACTCTGGCGCCCACCCCCCGCTGCCCCCATCTTTCTGCCTCATTGCTCGAGCCCGATCGGTATGTCAGGGTCCACGGGCCCGAACTTGAGCGAGCACGCCCGTTGCGAACAAAACTGCAACGCCAGGATCTCAGGGACTCTGGCGCCCACCCCCCGCTGCCTCGCCGACCGCGCGCGCGTGCGCTCTAGAACCATCCTCGTCCGCTTGTTTGCAGCCGCCAGCCGCGCTCTCCGACGGGCGCTTGAAGAATCACCCGTGCTCGGAAAAAGAGTAGTCAGCTTCTACGTTGGAGGCCAGTCCACAAGAAACCTGCCACAAGAAACCCAACCCTGAGACCCCAGGACGTCTTTTTGGTGTGGGCACGTCACGCTTTCCATGGCAAAACCATCGAAACCTCAGAAACCCTGGAGGCAAGCAGCGTGTTCTCTTGGCATGAGTCTCCACTGTACTTTTTGGGGTCGCGCGGCCGCGAGTGCCTGATACATGGCCCACCCGTCCCCGTGGTGCTCTTTCCATCGGGCTTCAGCACCATCGAGCGTCGCGAGGGCATCGTCCAAGTCCGTGTCATCTGGCGCGGGCTTGTGCTCACCATCAGCGCCACGCTCGCCAATCCCGCTGCTCGCCGTGCCACGACCTTTTGAGCTCGCAATTGTGTTTGAATAGCTGGGCGAACTCTTTGAAGGGCGCGGTGTCGGGCACACCCAGCTCCACTTCGCTCGAATGTTCATTGCCAGGAACTGAAAGAGGCACCCCGCCAGGTAGAGATTCGGCCAGTTGCTTCTGCAGCTGCTTCGATCTCGTTTGACTTTGTCTCGCTGCCAGCTCGGTCGTCTTGGCCTGCGCAGCTGTGATGGCCTTGTCCGACTCCGCGATCTGCCCGCTGATCCTGCTGAGCTTCGCAGCTGCCTTGCCGAACTTGTGCCCGCCCTTGGCGTGCTGCGCGATGCTAAACCTTTTGCCTCGACATGGCTGCGCACTCCCCTCACCTTCGGCGCCAGAGTGCTTTGGGCTTCCGCCGCTGCGTCACCCTTGTACGCACGGATGACTGCCTCCAACTCCGCAGCCAGACCTCGGAGCAGGTCTTCCTCTCCACTCGAATCATCGCCGCCACCCTCTGAGCCGTGCCGCACATGGGCGACGGGAGAGGCGGGCGCGCACTCGGCGCAGAGGGCGCCCATCTGCCTGCGGAAGACGCGCAACTGCTTCTCCTCTCGCCTTCCGATCGGACCCTCCCGCTGGCGGTCGCCCGCGAGTGCCCGGCAGGACGAGAGAGGGGGGCCGCTGCAGGGCGTGGGCGGGCGCCCTCGCCCCGCAGCGGCAGCGAAGTCTGCACGCCCAGCTCCATCGGCCCGCGGACCACGTCTTTGATCCCTGGAAGCCCGACGGCCACGCACGCGGTGCTGGTCTCCAAGCGGTCGGACCTGCGCACCTGCTGGCGAAGGCAGGTGGCAGGCTGGAGCTCCGCGGCGAATAGGGCCCTGCGCCAGAAAAACGTGATGTGTAGCCGCGGACCCGCGGTATCCACCTGATCCCGCGGGAACCTCAGATACTTGAGTCAAATGGCGACGGGGAGAAATGACGAGGAAGAGGATGAGGAGAAGAGGGGAGGAGAAGGAGGAGGAGGCTGATCCCCTACCGAGGCTCGAGACTCACAACGGTGCCCCCGATCGGGCAAAGGAACTTCGAAAACCCTCATTCCCTCGTCCCTTCCTCCTCGTCCTCTTCCTCCCTTGATCTAGTGGCTAGTTCGTATCATTCTGACCTGCTGGCTGAAGTTGCGTCTGGTGTACGCGAACGCCAGTGGCGAGGTGCTAGTGAGCAAGAGTGCGGAGACAATTCAAAAAGGTGGAGCCGACCTCCTTCCGCTCCGGCAGGAGCTGCGGCGTTTCGAGACCAGGGGGGGAGGCGGACCATTGGGGCTTGGATTTGCGCGTTGCCGCAGGAGGTCAGTGGCCGCGTCAGCGTCAAGCTGACGCAAGCTACACCATCGACGTGACCTGTCCGAGGTGCAAGGCCGTGCCTGAGACACTGGTTCACAGAATCTCGCAGTGCCAGACATACAGAGACCGTCCTGACTTCGACACCACTCAGGAGCTGGTTGCTCAGGCAGCGGCTCAGTGGGAGTCGGACCCGTCCCTGTGGCTCAGAGGAGTGCCGTCGAGAGACCCCACCCGCCCCTCCTTCGAGGACCCTGGTTCGACCCCTCCCCACACGTATCATGGCACCTCTCGACTTTTAGAGTTGTGCGTCCTTCCTGGGCAGGAACCGCTATATCTGTTCGGAGACGGCTCGGGGGGGAGGTACAGTAGTGACCCCAGGAGACGCAAATTGTAGGATTTCCTTGCACACCTGATCCAACGCCGTGCGCAGGCAGGCCAAGTTGAGAGCGGCCCCACCTAGCAAGAGGAAGAGAGCGCTGACGGAGACAGCTCACCGTTGTGAGCAGGTCGGCAACAGGTGGCGGTGTACAGAGTGCTGCCAGATGTTTCCAGCCTCATTTCTCAAGTTTTGTGCCCAGCAGTGCCCAGGCACGTCCCCCGAAACCTCCTCCAAGACCTCGGACTGGTCCCAGTGTGTTCGTCCGACGGGGGAGGTGCTTGTCGGTACGGCTGTGGCGCATTCCTCGCACACCCTGCTATTCTGGCCTGAGTGTTCCTTGCATTTCTGTGCGACCTGCGGGTCCACGGCCCCCGTCGACGGCAGATGGCTGGCTTTAGCTTGCAGGGCCCCCACCCCCAAAGGCACCCACCCCCAAGCGTGGCCCGTTCCCTTCCCGCCGAGGACCCCCCCGCGTGCTGCCGTCCAGGTCGGCACCGCTCAGACGGCAGCGGCAGTGGCTTTGGGAGTGGGGAGGGACGTGGGGGTGGCGGAGCCGAATGTGGTGAGGGACGGCGGTGGAGCGGCGTCATCATCGGTGTCGGGAGGGGGGGCGTGGTGGTTCCGCGCGCGGCCGCGCGCGTGCCCTCGTGCGCGCCGCCCGTCTCGACGGCGACCCCGCGCGCGCGCCCGCCCTCGCGCGTGCCTCATCGCGGGGGCTCGCCCTCGGACTAGCCCCGCTCCAGCTTGTTTTGCTTATGTCTTTGTTGGACGCTCGTCCCCTAATGGGTACTTCTGGATACTCCTCCGCCTCCTCCTCCTCCTCCTCCTCCTCCTCCTCCTCCTCCTTCTGCTCTCCCTGCTCTTCCTCGCCTCTACTTCGTTCGCCTGCTCTGCCTCTGCCCGCCCCCGCAGGGGGGCGCCACCGGCACCATCGAGGGGACCCCAGCATCGGCCAGCGCCTGACGGGCGCGGGACCAGCCCGCGTGAAGCGAAGAGCGGGGCAGAGTGGGAAAGCGAGAATGCCGAGGGGGGGGGGAGAGGGGGGGAAGGACGGAGCTGGCGCCCTCCTCCACTCCGTGGGAGCGCTCAGGGAATGCCACGGCACCTGCATGCGCAGACGGAATGTCCAGGTGTACCCGTGGAGCACTTCTGTCCACTGGAGATCGGCGCAGGGACAGGAGGAGAGAGGAGGAGCAGCAGGATGAGGAGACGCTGTGGGCACACGCGCAGGCTGTGCGTGGCCTTCAGCAGGTCATTGACCCACCACGGGACTTATTGTACCCCTGTCGCAGGCTTACTGTAGGCATACCACGGGCCTACCATACGCCTAAACGCAGACTGTGCGCATCCTATAGTTAGCATGCGCACTGGCTAAGCATAGGCCTACAATAGGCCGTAGGCCAACAGTACTGAGAGCTGACCGAAGGCCTGATGTAGGCTCGCCGCTGTCGCGCTCGTCGTCTTCACCTTCGTCGTCCTCGCCCCCGTCGTCACCGTCGCCCTCGTCGTAGTCGTCGTCGTCCTCGCCCTCGTAGTCGTGGTCGCTGGCGTTGTCGCCCTCAACGTTGTCGCCGTCGTATTCGTCGCCTGCGTCTGTCTCGCAGCCAGGGACAGTCACGACACTGAAATATCGGGGACAGTTGTCGGCCTCGCCGTCGTCGCCGTCGCCGTCGCCGTCGCCGTCGCCGTCGCCGTCGCCGTCGTCGTCGTCGTCGTCGTCGTCGTCGTCGTCGTCGTCGTCGTCGTGTCTGCGTCGTCCCCGCCGTCACCTTCGTAGAGCACTTGCTGGATACTGCGCCCTACTTCCGTTGTCCCGCCCGGCCCGACCTGCCCGCCCAATAGGGCCCGCACGGCCCACCCTGCACCCGCTAGGGTCCGCTCGCCGACCCACACTGAGCTTTGGGGTCAGGAAGCCCTGCCCGCCCGTTATGGTCGACGTCGCCGTCGTCGCCATCCTCGACGTTCGATGTCGTCGGCGGCCTCATCGCCGTCGTCGCCGTGGCCGTCGTCGTCGTCGTCGTCGTCGCCATCGTCGTCATCGTCATCGCCGCCGCCATCGTCGTCCGCTCAGTCCTCGTCGGCTCAGTCGTCGTCGTCGTCGTCGTGGGCGTCGTCGTCGTCGTCGTCGTCGTCGTGGGCGTCGTCGTCGTCATCGTGGTCATTGTGGTCGTCCTCATCGTCATCGACCTCGTCGCCGTCGTCGCCGCCGTCGTCGCCCTCGTCGTCGTCGTCGTCGCCAACGCCGTCGTCGTCCGCGTCGTCATCGTAAGTCAGTCGCCGTCGTCGTCGTCGTCGTCCCCGTCGTCGTCGACTTCGTTCTCGTCGTCCTCGTCGTAGTCGTCGTCGTCGTCTTCGTCGTCGTCTTCGTCGTCGTCCCTCGTCGTCGCCCGCGTCATCATCGACTTCGTCGTCGTCGTCGACGCCGTCGTCGTCGTCGTCGGCGCCGTCGCCGTCCTCGTCGTCATGGTCGTCCTCGTCGTCGTAGTCGTCGTCGTGGTGGTCGTCGTCGTCGTCCCCGTCGACGTCGTTATCGTCGACGTCGTCGTCGTCGTCGTCGTCATCGTCGTTGTCGTCATCGTCGTCCTCGTCGTCGTCGTTCTCGTCGTCGTCGTCCTCGTCGTCGTCGCCATCGTACTCGTCGTCTTGGTCGTCGTCGTCGTCTTCGTCGTCGTCATCCTCGACGTCCTCGTCATCGTCGACTCCATCATTCTCCACGTCGTCATCGACGTCGCCGTCGTCGACTTCAACGACCTCGTCGTCCTCGTCGTCGTCGTCGTCGTCGCCCGCGTCGTCGTCAACGTCGTCCTTGTCGTCGTCGTCGACATCGTCGTCTTCCTCGTCGCCCTCGTCCTCGTCGTCGTCGTCGTCGCCGTCGTGATCGTCGTCATCGTCGTCGTCGCCTTCGTCGTCGTGGTCGTCAATGTCGTCGTCGTCGACATCGTCGTCCTCGTCGTTGTCCTCGTCGTCGTCGTCGTCCTCGTCGTCGTCGTCGTTGTCCTTGGCGACTTCGTCGTCCTCGTCGTCGTCGTCGTCGTCGTCGAATTCATCTGCCACGTCGTCGTGGTCGTCCTCGTCGTCGTCGCCCTCGTCCTCGTCGTCGTCGTCGATGTCGTCGACGGCGTCGGCGTCGGCGTCTTCGTCGTCGTCCTCGTCGTCGTCGTCGTCGTCGACGCCGTCGTCATCGTCGTCGTCTCGTCTCGTCGTCGTCGTCGTTGTCGTCGTCGTTGTCGTCCTCGTCGTCGTCGTCCTCGTCGGCGTCTTCCTCGTCGTCGTCGTCATCCTCGTCGTCCTCGTCGTCATGGTCGTCGTCGACGTCCTCGTCGTCGTCGTCGCGGTCGTCGTCGGCGTCCTCGTCGTCGTCGTCGTTGTCGTCGTCTTCGTCGTCGTCGACTTCGTCGTCCTCGTCGTCGTCGACTTCGCCGTCGTCGTCGTCGTCGTCGTCGTCGTCGTCCTCGCCATCCTCGTCGTCGTCGTCGTCGAGGTCGTCGTTCTCGTCGTCGTCGTCGCCGTCGGCTTCGTCGTCCTCGTCGTCGTCGTCGTTGACATCGTCGTCATCGTTGTCGTCGTCCTCGTCCTCGACGTCGTCCTCGTTCTCGTCGTCGTGGTCGTCGTCTTCGTCGACGCCGTCGTCCCCGTCGTCGTCGTCGTCGGTGTCGTCGTCCGCGGCGTCGTCGTCGTAGTGATCAGCGTCGTCGTCGTCATCCTTGTCCTCCTCGTCGTCGTCGTCGCCTTCGTTGTGCTCGTCGTCGTCCTCGTCGTCCTCGTCGTCGTCGTCGTCGTCCTCGTCGTCGTCGTCGTCCTCGTCGACTTCGTCGTCCTCGTCGTCGTCGTCGTCGTCTTCGTCGTCCTTGTCCTCGTCGTCGTCGTCCCCGTCCTCGTCGTCGTCCTCGTCGTCGTCATCGTCGTCGTCGTCCTCGACATCGTCGTCGTCCCCGTCGTCGTCGTCCTCGTCGTCCTCCTCGTCGTCGTCGTCGTCGTCGTCCGCGTCGTCGTCGTCGTCGTCCTCCTCGTCGTCGTCGACGTCGACTTCGTCATCGTCGTCCTCGTCATCGTCATCGTGCTCGTCGTCGTCGTCCTCATCGTCCTTGTCGTCGTCGTCGTGGTCGACAAGGGGGGAGGAGGGGGGGGACGCCATTCACGACGCCATTCAGTGCTTGGGAGCTGGGGGGGGAGTTCGCTCTGCAAGGGAGGGGGGGGGGACGCCATTCCCGACGCCATTCAGTGCTCGGGAGCAGGGGGGGAGTTCGCTCTGCAAGGGGGGGGGGGGACGCCATTCCCGACGCCATTCAGTGCTCGGGAGCCGTAGGCTTGAGCTCTCTGCAGGGAGCGGGTGTGTGTGTGTGTGTGTGTTTCGCAACCGATTTCCACATGTTCATCTTATGAGGATGTCTCGAACAAGAGCTGTATCTTCAGCATACACGGTCATCCATTCCCATCAGCATCGGCTCCACGGATCGGCGGCACTGGCGGAGGCCACTACAATAAGGAGAGGTGGCCATGCAATCCAGGAAGATAGATGGCCCTGTCCATGATATCCCCACCCCTACCCTGACTTCGTATCCGTCGTACTTTGGGCGATTTCGCAAGTAGGGCAATCATTTCCGCCCTACTCTTTTGAAGCTCCTTTGATGGCGAGTTCCGGTCAACTTTGCCGTCGCTGCTTCCGTCACACAGTTGCGGGAACATCCGCTCTAGTTCTCCGAGGCGGGAATCTCCGCCCTACTCTTTCGCACCGCCTGGGGGTCCATGTCCGACACACCCCAGAAAGTACGGTGGATCCAGACTCAGTGCAGGGCGAGGGGCATCACGAATCCATCCCCGCCTTTTTCTGAGAACAAAGCGCGCATCTCTCAGTACCAGAACCCATGCGATCATTACAACATGGCGCGCCACATTGCACGCAATTGTCCTGCACCTCTCAGGTGGAACACCGCTCCTCCCCCCGGACGCTTGCAACGACCGCGGGCGCTCTAACCGATCCCCGATCCGAAGCGATCCCCTCTCACCTCTGGGAAGGGGTCTGGGTGCTGGAGGTCGTTGGGGGCCAAGGGGAGGGCAACGGGGTTTGGGGCTTGGGCGCTGGTTTAGGGCATGGGCGCTGGGTGGGAGGTCAAGGGCTGGAGACGTGTCAGGACCCCCCTCGGCCCCCCCCCCGACTGCGGAGAAGCGAGGGCAGCACGAGTGCACCCGCGCAGCAGAGGGGGCGCGGAGACGACGACGGCGACGGCGACGACGACGACGACGACGACGACGACGACGACGACGGCGACGGCGACGACGACGACGACG